TCCGGTACCTGTCACTTGCTATTTTCTGTAAATGATGATCTTTATGAAGCATATTTCATTTAAAAGTCTTTGAGGATGACCAGGTCTTTCCTTTCAATTGTCAGTGCAACCTGGCTCCTGTAACCAAAGTTAGATACACAGGTGAGATTCATCCAATCAACCAGAGGCCTTCACTTCCAGTTTAACAGACTCATGTCCAAAACTCTAAGTAGACACTGTGAGAAACCAGAACAGGTTGCCAGTGAGGCTGTGGATTTCCCCTCCCTGGAAGCATTTAAAGCCAGGCTGAAATGGGCTTTGAGCAACCTGGTCTAGAGGGAGGTGTTCCTGCCTATGTCCCTTCCAACCCAAACCATTCTATGATTCTAAGATTATAAAACTCTGCTAATCATAAATTCACTGCAGGATAATTACCTCACTTAAGCATTTTAGATGCTCACTGCTAAGTTATTTGCTTTTTCCTTACACTCCCTGTATTGCATTTCCTGGTGTGCAGGCAGCCCACTCAGATGCAATTGGCACAGGGGCCTGACTGGAATTCAAGAAAAAGAGAGGATAAACTGCAACAGGGAAGCCTGACATATGAAAATAAATAAATAAATATAAAACAAGCCGTTTGGGAGTGATGATAGTTACACAGAGACATGTCCTGGGGCAAGGGCTGAGAACAAAGCAAGAGAGAAGGGAGAATTAGGGTAAGAGGGGAACCTGGAGGATAGAGCTAAGGAGGTCAAGTTTTAAATTAGCGGGAGCAGGCTGTGCTTAGAGAGCAGAACAAATTGTTCTGGGAGCTTGAAGATAAGTTCCAGTGTTGGAACTTCGGGCTTGCAGATTTCTTTAAGGTACTTACTGACAGAAAGCCACCATGTACAGCGTTTTCAGTGTGTTCCACCCAATACAAGATAAAGGCTGGAGAACTGTGCAAAATGATACATTGCTTCTATAGATCTTCTTGCTTACAGGTGCTCATCTGCCAAATCAGACTTCAACCCTTAATGCTTCTCTGTGTATCTGATATTTAGTGTCACAAATTTTTCTGATGCCATTGGAGATTATAGAGATTTGAGTTAATATTCATGTTGTTCCACTTAAAGTCCCACATAACATACAGTTCAATAGATACACTGCATAATAGTCAATTAATACTTCACTGGAAAGCACACACCTGCACCTCCAAGAAACATAAATTTATTAAGGCTTTAAGGAGAAAGTAAGAACCATGACACAAGACAGATTTCATGGTAGTTTATTTTCAGTGTAAGTCTGTTAGACAAGTTGGTGCCCTTTTCATCTGAAGTACATTGCTGTTCTAGTAATACATTTTTAATTAAAAACAAATGAATAAAACTTCAGAAAACACTGTATAGAATTAAAAGAGCAAGAATAGCACATTCTGATTAAGGAATTATTTGTCCCATTCACCTCTCCATAGAAAATCATCAAATCTGGGGGGAAGAACAAGGACCAAGTATCAGTAGAAGACTTTCAATCCCATTTTCATTGTGAAGCTCAAGTATAGACTCAGCATAATTGATTAACTCAGTTTTGGGCCCATTTTCTTTCATCTCTCCCCAGTTTTTCCAAGTGTACCAGCAACTCAGCACTGTGAGTGTAACAGCTCTCCTTTCATGGATATGACCAGCATTCAACTGTGAAGCTCAGTGCTCTGACCAGCACTGCAGCAAGGAGCATGGGCATACAGGGACCACTACAATGCTGCTCCTCACACTAGACTCCATAGCATTGGGTGACCCAGGGCTGGAAGGAGAGGCAACAAAAGCATGAAGTTGAGCTGAAATTCATCAACTGAATACTGAGAGCAGACAAATACTGAAGCAAGCTCACCGCCCTCAGTGATGAGAAGAAACAGGGCATACTTTCAGATCAAGTGTAGTTTTGACAGACTCTTACCCATACAGGAGCACCTGGAAGAAAAAGTAACAGCTGCAGTGGATGAAAGTACCCATCTGCCAACCCAAACTTCTGTCTAGAGGAGCTTGCTGCTGACAACTGAGAGCTTGTGATTAAGAATTGAAGAGTAGACACTATGGGAGATCATGTAATGGGTGTCTGCTGTGGGTCCAGGGAGAGTAAGTGCGTAAGGCCTTCTACTGATAGCTAGAAGCAGCTTCACAGACACTAGTATGGTGCGTATCGTACTTGACCACCTTCATAAGGAGATGGAGGGCAAAAGAACAACACAAAAAGCAATACAGAAGGCTCCTGAAGGGAATCAACAACAACTTCCTGACAAAAGAGATAGAGATGACAGCGAGGTGCTTTGCTGAATTTCATTCTCAAAAACAAGACGATGCTCACTGGGTACGTGAAAATCAAAGACAGCCTTTGCTGCAGTGATGATGAGATGGCACAGTTCATGATCCTGAGAAGAGGGTGAAAAACAAGATCACAGACATGCACTTCAGGAGAACAGACTTTGGCCTCTTCAAAGATCGACCTCATAGAGCCTAATGGAATAAAGCCCACAAGACAACTGGCCAGCTTGTGATATAAAACAGCATAAAGAAATTAACTCTTTGTGGAAGTTCCTTTTATTTTGCAAAAATTTATTTCTCACTGTTGTACAAAATAGTAAAACAATGTCATTGCTTGTACAACTAGGTAGTTTAGATGTGATCTAGTTGAATAAATCAAAGTTTCACAATTTTTAATGCTATAAGACAATTGGTAGATTATACATTTTACAATATTTCATTTGTACGTTTTATACAAATATTATTTGGTAATCCATATTTGTAAACTTTAACATGACGTAAAGTCTCCAGTCACATGATTAAAAGATGCAATGAAAACATTTTACAGCTAACATTTTAAAGCATCTCAATTACCTTTCTACTCTTTGTTTTACAGAAAAAGTCCATTCAGTTTAGTTAATTCATTTGGAATAAACTATTACATTTGTTGAAATGTAAAAGAAAAAATATATATATATCTTTAATGTAAATTAGAGTAGAAAACATTGTTTTACTTTCAATAAGTTATTACTTTAAAGCTAGTAACCATAGAAGTCAATTTCAGCTCAAATAAATTTGGTCCATTCCTTTCAAGTAATACTACTAGTATATTTTATGAGGAAAGAAATTATTTCTAGAGGTTTTTCTATCCCACCCCAAAAGTAATTTTCAAAGAGCATATTTATTATTTATCCTAGGTCATCCTGAATTATAGGATGCATATATAATGAAAAAAATAATAAAAGGGGAGGAAAGGAAGGATATTAACATCACCTTAAGTGTATAGCTAATAAATGAAGATACAAGACAGAAAGTGAGAACATCACTAGGAGATAGATCTTCACCAGGAATCAATCAACACAGCTCCACTGATATCAGCAGTGCCATCCTGACTTATACCAGCCACAGATCTGTCTAACCATGGATAACGTATAGCAAAACTCATTTATATTACTGATAAGGAAGAGTAGTGTTTGCATGAGCAATGTTAACTTTTTTTTTTTTTTTTTTAAAATTAAGGTCTGGACATCATGGTTCTCATCTAAAATTTTGCCACTGGTGACTGTGACTCTTACTACTCACTGGCAGCAGTTGTAGTTTATCTCCAATTTGAAATAACACTAAAATGTATTTAACATTATTAACAACAGCTAGTTTGTACCAGAAATTGCCTGAAGCCCATTTACAGCATGAGACTGGATTTGAAAGTATTATTTTAAAACTTTATGAACTTATATTATGGGTTTTCACTGACCATAATCTGTGGAACAAACTGCAATCACTAGAAATCAGCAGCAGCTGTGCACTGAAATTCACAGCAACGTGACTCTTCGTTGGTACAAAATTTCTTCTCTAGATAACAAACTAGAGTAAATTTTTAGAAGTATCTAAGAGACATGCTTATGGATCAAATGCTAAAAGCAGAATTACAAAAACAAAGATAAGTAATTGCACAAAGTTTGTTTCACTCATAGACAGGAAGACATTCTTTCAAGGCACAAGAGAATTCCCAGAGTGCATAGGACATATTACTTAACCAGGAGTGCAAATATTAAAAACCTTAGGAAGCAGAAATTGAATTCCAGAAATAGATTATGACAACACTCAGACCGCTGTACTGTCATCTGCCATATGTATTACAGATTCAAGATACAAGTACATACAAAACATACAGTTTATATATATGCTTATCTCTTAAAATAACAAATGGGATTCAGATGATCTCTGCCAGAGAACTGTAAGAATGCACACCTCTACAACCACCACATAACGCACTTTGAACAGACTCCTTATCGCAGTATATCTGAAATAGAGCTGCCTCTAAAACACATTATTAATGAGTACATGTTCAGACCATTTGGGCTGCATCTTCTGCCAATTCTCCTTACAGAAAGAAAGTCTCATGACGTCCACAACTAGAGGAGTAAAGAAGGTAGTGGTAACTACGCTGGACAAAACTCTTGGCAATGTTCATTTCTTTAATGATACTATGTTAAAACTCACAAGAAACTGAGGTACAAACTTCTATCAAGTAAACATGAGAATTGTCTTGCATTCATTTTAAGTACAATAGTTACCCCTTGTTTCCTTTTTTTTTTTTTTTAAATTTCTTATTTCCTTAAAAGAAAAATATATATGCGCATACAATGCTGATATCCTATGTGTTGATGCCATCGATCCCTTAGGATAGCAAGTTTGATGGGTAGTAACCCATTAGGAGAAAAATATATTTTTGAATATTATTTTACATATATACAATATATATATTTAACTTTCAATCAAAATATAAAGTTTTCCAGTGTAGTCATCAGTATTTTTTATTTTAACATGAGAAAACATTTCGTATCTCACATATGCTTGGTTCAAACGTTAAAAATTAACAAGGTATTTGATATCCACCAGTAATATCTTTGGTTTTATTTCTACAGATCTATAAGAAAACAAAGAAACAGAGAGAAAAGCTTTCCTACTCCAAAGCAAAAAAAAAAAAAGTAAGATCTCAAGGATGAAACTATCATTAACGGCACTAAGTTTTGCTTTTTAAGCAACCACAAAGAATAGGAAGTAAAAACTAAATGGAAAATAGTATCACTCTATGAACGTAGTCTAAAGAAAAAATGTTCTGAGTCCCTTACTTTTGATGTCTAGTAGGTAAAAAAAAATATGCCGTATATTTAATGTGTTACACTCACTAAATTTTGGTAAACTTTTCCCCCAGAAAGCAAGAGGTGGAAGAATCTGTTGCATTCAATTCCAAAATACCTAATAGCACAAAAGTAGGACAGCCACTTATTTACAGTTTTTTTTCAGCACCATGAAAGACATGTTTATCTTTTTATACACGTTTCTGCCAATGTCCTAAACTTGGGTTCCAGCTGATCTAAGAAGTCAAGTGCCTCTTCTTCATGCTGATCACTGCAGCAGCCTACAGAACCAGCCAAGGATCCTTTTCCTTCATAGTTATATGAAAGGAGATAATCTTCAGAATGTTTCTGTTCTTCATCCTGTCTGCATAGATGCACCTTCTGCATAGGAAAAGAAAATATTATTACTTTCTTAAATTGTTATTCTAAAAGTATTGCAGAAAAATAATTTTTCTTTTGATTTACCTTTCATTGATTAATTTTTAATCAGAGTGTGTCCTCTAATGGATTCCTACATACAAAAAATGCACATGATTGGTCTATATCATTAAGATTATAAAATATAAATATTAATAAAGAAATCATTTCTACTAATTACGTATGTAACAATAGAAGAGGAAGAACCTGTTTAAATAACCAGTCAGATAACTACAATCCACTCAAAACTGAACAACTGATGCATAAAAGTAGTTAGACAAGTAGTGAGAGTGAGTTTTTGATCCCCAAAGCACAGAGTAACTACATTTCGAATGCTGTACATACACTCCTACACCATTGCTAAGATAAGTATCATGGTGTAAGTTAGCACAAGCAAGCAGTTAGAATAAAAGCAAACAAATTAACAAAAATAAACTCATAAAAGCTTAAGTAATTATTATCAATGAAGTTAAATATTCTAATTAAAAAAAACGCATACCTTTTACAATTTAAGCCATGAAAAGAAAGTTATCTATGCTTATGTCTCAAAATATATAAAAGGACTTCTTGAAAGTGAAATATTCCAAAACAGGATGCAGACAAGCAAAAGAAAAGAAAAACAAGCAAGCTAAAAAAGAATAAAACAAAGCCTTTCTAGCCCAAATGCCTTTCTTGAGAAGACTACATACACTGATCATAACCCACACTCTAGGAAACCACTGTTGGAATACTTACTTCTCCTAAACGAGGATGTGTGAAATTATGCCATTCTGAATAGGAGTATCTACATGTGTCCACCATAGCCTGTCCTCCTCCTCCTTCTTTGACTGATCCCAGCGTCTGATGTCCACCTCCTCTGACTGATTCCAGGGTATGCCCTCTTCCTTTTACCATTTCAAATGTTTGTTGATCTCCTGTTTTTATTCCACATCCTACTTGATCAGTAGTTTGTAGAGGAATTATATTGTGATCCTAGTAAAAGATTAACAGTGGAGAAACCTTTGTTTTCATTATTATTTTTACTGTATTTTTTAAATTAAAAAGACAGCAATCAGAAACTCTCCATGCTAAAAACTGAAGTGCTCAGTTTCGCAAAGTGACATTTTGAACAATAAGCCACCGTTAGAACTGAAGTCTATAAAGATCAATAAGAGGTCTTCGGAGAAAGATATTAAGATGAGACGAAAATCTGTAGTTGGATATGAAACTAGATCCCACAACTCAATCATTATCCCGATGAAAGGTGCACTATAACCCACACGTTAGTTTCTTACAATATTACATAAAATGTTTGGTTTGCAAAGTCAACCACCTGTAATTTATTAGATCAGATATACACTCATATGAAGAAGTTCATTCTGTTTTATTCATAAAGTTTGCATATCACACGAAAAAAAGGAGAAATTAGTATGTAATCACAGAAATTATACACTACATTATATTTTATAAGCAGTAATAAAATTGACATTTGTCATCATTAGAAGAGATTTTCTTGGTTTTCATGTTAAGTAAGCTCAATGGTTTTTAAAGAAATCTTTTTGTCGGTGGAGGACAGAAGAGAAGGGATATAATTACTCACAATGATTTTGTGCTAAATTTAAAATTCCTTTTCCAAGGAACAGTAACAATGTTTTGCACGCATTCAACATGGGCAAAAAAGCGAACTCCCATCTAATCTTGTTTTAAAAAGTGACATTATAATTTTCAACTAGAACTTCCAACTCAACAGTTAAAGTTTGGAAGAATTGTTAATAGCCAAGAAGCAGCTTCTGTAATAAAAAACATTATTTATTTTAAATATATACAGTGCTAATAACTCTGCCTGAAGTAAGAATTTATGAATTCTTGTAAAATACCAAAGCATATAAATGATCCCTTTGTTCATTGCTTATCTCCATTACTAAATCACTTATTTGCTGATAGGTCTCTCCTCAGACTGAAATACAATGGCATCATTACATGTTTCTACATTGAAGTAAACGGACAACTTACCATCACTTCTTCTCCTGGAGCTTCTGTATTTGAAATGATTAAGTTGTGATTGGCGCAATCATCAGTCACTTGCCTGTGCATTACCCCAGCACCACAACAGCCACAAATCGTAATTAGGATTACTACAAAGAAGAAATAAGTGAGAAAGATGCTATGAAGTTTACTTACTTATCTGCTTTTGTCTGAAAGCAAACTTTGTTGTGTTAGACCTAAATGCTTATGTATCAAATGTCATTAAAAAATAATACCGTGTATGAAAATGCCCATACTCTAAAGTGTACAAATACATACTGTTTTTTCAAGTGTTACATGGATTTGACACTATAGTGAAACTGTTGAACTGTAAAATATATTTTGATTTCCCCAGAATAAATGCAAGCTTGCAAAATGCAACATTTTGCATTAATAAAATACAAAAACAAAATCTAGTTGAAAAATCATATCTTATGCCTATGTGAGATGTGTACAGCATACATATTTTGTGTATGGATACGCAGTGTCAAATTATGCCTTAAGTAATATGTTGGCTTAGGGTCCCAGTATCAGAAAGTTCTGCTTCACAGAAAGGATGACAGGAATCCTGAAAGATTTCAAGTATATTACAGAGTGATCAGAATCAGAGTGATCTTTATACCTTGAATTCAGCTTACTGTTCTTACAGAAATACTCTGTGTAAGACTCAGATTCGTATAAAAGAATCAAGAGCAATTTAACCCCTCCAAAACTAAATATTTCATTCAAATATTTCAGCAAAAGAAAGACATGGAGCTCTTGGAACAGGTCCAGAGGAGGGCCACTAAGATGATCAGAGGGCTGGAGCACCTCTCCTGTGAAGAAATGTTGAGGGAACTGGGCTTGTTTAGCTTAGAGAAGAGAAGATTCCGAGGAGATGTCATTGCAGCCTTCCAGTACTTGAAGGGAGCATATAAAACAGAAGTGGGAACAACTATCCAGGGTGGATAGCGATAGGACAAGGGGGAATTGGTTTTAAACTGAGACAGTGGAGGTTTAGCTTAGATATTAGGAGGAAGTTTTTCCACACAGAGGGTGGTGACACACTGGAACAGGTTGCCCAAGGTGGTTGTGGATGCCTCATCCCTGGAGGCATTCAAGGCCAGGCTGGATGCAGCTCTGGGCAGCCTGGTCTGCTGGTTGGCGACCCTGCACACAGCAGGGGGGTTGAAACTCAAATGATTATTATGGTCCTTTTCAACCCAGGCTATTCTATGATTCCATAATGACAATGCTCTCGTTAGTTTTTAGCTTAAGAATAAAGAAATCCACAAGGAATAAATCAGTTCTGCCTAACTGCTCACAGAGCAATCCTCTTTAAATATATAAGCTTCTATGGAAATTGCCTAGGAGCCACTCTGAAGCTCATATAGCTGCTGCAGCTATCAGCAAGATTTGCACCAGTGATTCTAGTGGGTCACCTCCTAGTGCTGGCAGATGTGAAAACAAAAACTGTAAAAACACTGAGCACAGACTACACTAAGTAAAGCCTAACCACAATAAAGCAACAAGTATATCTCGGGTGGATGCATTCAAGGGGCAGGGACAAAAAGCTACTCAACATCTCACACTGTTCCCCTACTCTGCATCCTAACATCTGATAATTCCCTCCTGGCTGTGCCATGAGTTCAGGAATTTGACTCATTTAGATAAAACACAGAACTATCTGACCTCAAACAAGTGAACAGGTCCAAGTGATGTATGTAAGTAAGAATAGCTAGCTGAAATTGAGGAGGGGCAAGGCAAGTTGTCCATCTCGCTGGTTAACAACAATATTGACTTGCTCAGAATCTTTGTCCCTGAGCAACTTCAGTAACACAAGATGTACTCAAGGGTTTACTCTGCTATGGAAAAATCAAACTTTTCCTTCAACATTATGCTGGCTCTTGTAAAACTTCTTGTTAGATGCAGTGTCTCGGACTCTATGATTTAATCCAGAATGCATTAAAGGTTACAAAAAAAAGTTAGGAAATTGATTTCTGCATTCTTACAAATAGAAATGTGCATGCCAAAGTCAGCTGTAAACTTCCCCATGAACAAACTGCAATACTCACCTGACAGCAGGATCCAATAATTGCTATAAATCCCATCCCCTTCTGGTTAAAACACAGAACACAATTTTTTGATCTTGCTAACATGAACACGTAGAACATCATAAAGTGTTCTTTTAAGAATAATAAGCAAAAATACACACACAAACTATGGGATAAGATGAGAGCTAGAAGCCTTTGATATTGATACAGAGTACGTGCAGTAAACTACTGATTAGAGTTACAGAAGAGTCACACAAAGATGTCTGAATCAAGTTTGAGCAAAGTGTTTTGTACTTGGTAAAAAAAAGTATACTTACAAAGCAATAGCAGTGATCCCAAGATCATTGCAAGGATGGCCCACACACCAAGAGTAACACTCCCAGCACTACGAGGAGCTCCACAATCACTTGGAGTAACACAATCACAGTAGTTAACTGTAATTTCACTGATTCCTTGCCTTCCTGAACTATCAGATACGCTGACAGGAATAGTGTATGTTCCAAATGGAATATCACCCCTTGGTGAAAGATACACAGACTTTTCTGGGGAAAAAAAATAAAAAAGATATAGTGTTAACAGTATCTGAAGTCCCACTGTCACATCTGGGCTCTAAACACAATCTTTCACTCTTACAGTTAAGCCAGTATCAAATCCATATTAGTTAGTTTAAAGCTGGTTTTGACTGATCAGTATTGACACTGAACTACATGCAGAACGTGATATTTTTAAGAATTTATATTTTCTATGCTTTCTAAACAGTAAAACTGAAAAGCAAAACCCTCATATATTCTCCTAAAAACATTTAAGTTAAAGCTATGAAGTCAACACAGTTCACTACAGTAAATTACACTGTTTAAGTATGCTAGTAAAGACTGTCAGCAGAACTGACATATATTAAAAGCACTTCCAGTAACTGGAAAAAATTAATCCAAATCTCAGTTTATACCTCCTCCATTCTTTGGTTTTGTTGCTATATCCAATGAGAATAACCATATTCAGTGGGAAGTGAAATCCATTTAGTCTACCGCTCTGCTTAACAAATTAAGTAGCCAGTGACCACAGCTGAAGGGCAAAATAAAACTGAGAAGAAAGTTCCAACATACCATTGTGCCGTGTTATCTTCCACATGGAACCCAAGTTACGGTCAGTCATGCGATAGACTAAGGGCATGCTGTAAGAAGTCTCATCTCCATCCCCTGCACTGAGGCAGATTGGTTTTCTGTCTCTGCACATTATATAGTCAGTCGTAATAATTCGTGGATAACTCCTGTCGCATGGCTGGATGACAACTTGAAGGGTTCCGGTGCCTGTTTTGCCATCTATGAGATAAAAATAATTATTTTGCCATTTAATACTAATATTCGTTCATTTCTTTATTTCTAGTCCTAATTTACACAATGAAGTATCATTAACTGTAACAGCCAAGCTGAGAAGGTGGAAAGCAGCCATGGATTTGGCCTAAAGCAGAGAGGGCCTTTTTTTTGGCCACTTCTCATCTTTGCTTGACTGATCATACAACAGAACACTTTGTTGAAAACTGCTAAATAGAATTAAAAAAAAAAAAAAGTTGCAAGATTGGCAAGGAACTTGTATTTCTTGTATTTTCTAGTGACAGAGATAAATTGCCAGTCAGTGTCATTCATGTGCTATCCTCAAGTGGGTAAAGAAGGGAAAAAAAAAACAGGAAAGATGGAACAAGGTAGAAGAAAGTCTGCAATTGCAAGTTTGCCCTCTCTCATGGGTGACAAAGACAGGACGATTTTTCAAGTTAAGTCTGCACTGGAAAAATATAAAAATAAAAATCTGAATTATCAAATCCTCAAGGTGAAGTGCATCTTTTTATGTAGTTCAGGATCCCATACAGAAATCCCTTGACTTGCTTTGAAAATTGCCTCTTTTCAGCTGTGTAATCTGGTCATAGTTAATTGCACCAATACGTATCAGTACAAACAGAAAGAGTACTACCAAATTAAGATGTCCCAAAGTTCCATGTTTTGTGTGTGGACAGAGTTTATTTTGTTGTTCACGGGCATCTTACATGAGTACATACACTGCTCTAACAGGAGGATGAGTAAAGAAGGGTATAAGAAACAAGGTAAAGGAGGCTATGACAAACTGAGAGACAAAAGCAGAAAGGGAAAACTTCCAGTATTTTTGCTCCTGGAGGGAGAATATGCTTCTCTACAACCCATTGCTCCCTCCCCTGGAAACACTGAACCCTTTCAGATACGGTACGCTTCTTTCAGCCATGAAGTGCACTTTATCACCAAAGCCTACATGTAAGAACTGAATCTATCCATCCTAATCTGAATTTTTTCTAATTTAAGAACAGTAAATGCTTGTGTGTTGTAAAGAAATTATATCAAATTTACTTCTTAAAAGTATCACCGGAAATACCTAATTGTATATAAAATAAGCATGATATATGTTTCTACAACAGAATCTCTAAACAATTTAAATTGGTGTAGTTCACATGTAATTTTAATATCTAAGCTTTGGAGACAGTTATGATACCTAGCTGTACAGCAACTTCTCAAGATATGTTTTTTATTCCAGCTGATGCTTTAGCACAGGAAGGATAAAAATAACTCCTGCCATTGGAGGGTAATAATATTACCACAGCAATTGATAAGAGCCATCCCAAAAGTAAGACAACAAGCTAAGCGTACATCAGGTCTGAATCAATGTAGCTGTAGCTATGTTAAATTTGCACAAGAAATTCTTCTACAAAGTACAGATGATGATGACAACATTTAGTACTCACTTCTGTCTATTGCGAGGACTGTGATATTGCATTGGCCTCGTTTGACTTCTCCTAGATCTCGGTCCAAGACTCTAACAGTTCTGACTTCACCTGATTTTTCATCAATATTGACCCAGTTACACTGTCCAGGTGGTATTTTGTAGCTGTTAAGAATAATTTCCATGTTTAGATGAAGATCTCAAATACACACGCGTATATTTACATATACACACATGCCTGCACAAATGCATGTATTTACATACACACACACACACAAACATTCCCCCTTCCAATACCCCTCCTTGCTTTACTCCAAATAAACTAGTAGACAACACTGTTTCATACCAGATGCCTTCGCTGTTTCCAGTTTCTGGATCTTCTGCTAGATATTTCCCAATATTTGTCCCAATGTCATCACATTCACTAGCGTCCATGCGGAAGAAACAGGGTTTAAACACTGGTCCCTCATCTATATCTAGGACGTTCACTGTAACAGTGCAGGTGCTCTGAACAACTTGTTGTGAATGTGGTGCCAGCATGTAGGGTGCCTCATTGTTGACTGCAATCACGAGGATCCTTTGCTTGGCATTTTCATAATCCAGCCCCTGAAACAGAGATACAAACATATAAATACACAAACACACAAACGTTTTCCCCTCCTGCTTCAAATCAATATAAAACTTGGCACTGTTTTCTCTTAACTGTTATTAAGTAAAACTGTGTAAACTTACTTACAAAAGAAATCAGTTATCACTCTGGAACATCCAGCTTAAGACACAGTAAAGGGACAAGACATGAACAATAACCATTAAACAAGTCACGTTTTAAGTTTATCAAAGAAAAGAACCTGCAAAATAGTCCCTAATAAGGTAATCAGCATCACCATACATATTTAGATGAATATTCTGCTAGTGAATTACCAACAGAACTGAAATATGAACTAGACATGTGGAAGGACTTTCTCCTCCTAGACCAAACTGGCCATATTTTCTTTCCAGGACAAGTAAATCATGCTTCATGCCAGCACCTACATTTATTTCCCAGTAAGACAGCATATGCTGCAAATACATCTTAATTTTTAGGGCTGACGAGCAAGTATCTACAAATGTAACTGTTCAGATACATTGTCCAAGGACATCTTATGCCATTAATATAGTTATCTATATCCTGAAGTTATAATACACTCTAGTCTACTACAGAGCTACGCTACATATAAGAAAGTACAGACACAGCTTTATCACAGAATCATAGAACTGCTAGGTTGGAAAAGACCTCAAAGATCAAAGTCTAATTGAAACCTAACCATAGTACCATAACTCTAACAACCCAAATGAAAAACTTGAATGATTATCAGCAACAACAAAAAAAACATGATATCTTCTCTACTCTTATCACTGACACCTTCAAATGTTAATATTAGCTTTCTTTGTTCCTTAATAGTTACTTGTTATTGCACAGCTCTTACAGATGTCAAACAGATGCTAAAAGGCAAAGGGAGTACACACAGAGCAAAACTTCTATCTCACATCTGCACCTCCAGAAAAGCAAACCTATAGTCACTACTCTGAAAAACAAAGCCTGGAAATTTTTAAGAGAAGGTAGTAAATTTAATCACCTCCCAGAAAGAAGATGGCTGGAGGAGGTGCTCCTCACCCCCCTGTTTATACACACTCTCACTTCTGTTAAAAACCTGTCCATGAAGGATAGGTTACACCCCTGCATCTGTTACACCCCTATATCTCAACAACTGAAACCGTGGGACCAGGAAAAGTCACTATGCTCTGCTAGACGGTGAAACACAGAGCAATAATTCAAATTCTGCACACACACGAGGAGTATTCTGAGTTCTACGTTATTGGTTTTAAAAGCAACAACTAAAGACAAAAATGTTGCTCTACAAAGTCCCATTTTTACTTACCTTAACAACACAAAGTATTCCTTCATTCGTGTTTCTGTCTGTTGTAATTTCAAAAGTGTGGTCGTCATTTCCTCTTATAATTTCATACACAGCTGTGGAGCCAGGTGCTCCAAACTCATCGGCATCAACAACAGAAATTCTCAGGATGTCTACATTCACTCTGTTTTCTTCCACTTGTGTTTCATACTTGGAGTTATCAAAAGAAAAATAGTTAATTTTAAGTCATAGAACACCACTTCGGGAGTGAACAACACTGTAATTAAAACTTTAGACCACAATGCTGCACTTAAAGAACCAATTTACCACACCAGTATAGTGACTTATTTCATTTCAGTGCATTAACATACTTCCCCCACATCTCCCTCACACATTGACTGAAACATGAACCCTTTCCTACCAGCATAGCTCTCTCTTACTCCCAGCTATCAATGATGTAAAGCCTGGAATTCTCCTTCCAGGAAAGGTAAGTGAGCATGGTTCTCTTGAGCATCTGCAGCTGACGTAACTTATCTATGTACAGTGCAATTAAGAACAGCATTAAAAAATGCCACAGCTTAAATAAAAAAAAACAACATATATATATATATACACACATATATAAACATATATATATATATATATATAAACAAATCGTAAGAACTTGAAGAAAGGCAAAATACATCTCTACTTGGATGACAATGGACCAAAGGGCTTTATTTATATATATGTATATATACATATATATAAATACATATATATAAATAAAGCCCTTTGGTAATAAATACATATATATACATATTTTTTTATAAAGAGCTGTGTCATTCTGTACAAGCTCAAGAAGCAGGATAAGACTGGTTCTGAATTAATATTGTTGATAACCTACAGTAGCAGGAAGAAAAGATTATGTACGTGTATTATGTACGTGTATAGACCTGCTCTTCTTCAATACTGTATTTTACCCATTTTCATACCAACGTCTTCTACAGCATTTCAGCTGTAAATATGCTTATTGAGATATACTGAGTTCTAAAAAGAGAAATTAACTTAGCAATTAAACGTCAGCTTTGTTTCCTGGCAAAAACTTTTGAAAGCTAGCAGCCAACATTTTTTTTTATGTTAAAACGTGAATGAAGAAGGGAAGATAATGAAATGAAAATCCCTGCATCTACTTAATTGACATTAACACAAGTAGTCAGTCAGAGGCTGGTCAAAGGTAATAGGGTCATGAAAATGCTTAGGAGTCAATCTGTCCCTCCACCCCTACCCCTTAAAAAAAAATTACAAAATCATAATATGGTTAAATTACAAGATTTTTATGATCACACGTTGCAGAAGTGAATTACTCATGTTAGCTTTCTCCCAACAGTCATATTAGACCACTGACTCAAACAACTAATACAGCAGCAGGTCTAATTACCAAACAACATAACAACCAATATGGCATTCACAAAGGTCTATGTTGGCATCAACTGTCTTGAGACATTCAAAATCATACTTGAAGGAACACCCATAAGGAAATTAGAAAGGTGATAAAAATAATTTCTTCACCCTTTACAGACACTTAATTTACGAAGACTTACTTGCAACTGTTTAAAAGTTGGTGCATTGTCATTTGTATCTTCAATCTTAATGACAGCTGTCCCTGTTGTGCACAACCCGAAAGGCTGACCTGCCATATCTCTCACTTCAATTAATAAAGTGTACGTGGACACCAGCTGAAAAGAACAAAAGTAGACAGAAGTTTGATTTTTTTTTTTTTTTTTTTAAGCACAACAACAGAAATAAGTGTTTTATTCCTGTTCTGCAACTCAGCTCCAGAGTGCACTGTTGTATTTTGCAGGCAACAGGACTGAATCTGGAGCATCTTCCCTACAGTTCCAGAAGGAAAATGAGTAAAATAGTGCTGAGCAGCACTCAGTTCAAAATCTGTTAGAAAGCATAAGCTACATCCTGCATCAAATAAAGCTCTCCAGAACATCCACAAACACCTCTGTTTCCCAGTATCTGATAGTTTGGAGGACTCAAATGATGTGCCCTTATCTGTTCTCTTTCATTCTCCCCTGCAGAGAATTCTCCCACATTTCCAGCACTTTCAGTCCTTGACTACTTTTCATTAAGCTTATTTCTCTCAAATCAGTGACTTGAGTCACTACAACAGAATGTCTTTTTTTGAAAAAAACTTACAATACCCGAGCAACCTAGGAAATTATGGGCTGGACACAAAGAAGGTACTTGCAAATCAAGACAGTAACCCCCTGCAGAATACCTGAAAGCATTAGGTTTCCTGGGTAAAAGAAAAAGATCTCCTGTTTCACTTCATAGATTTATTGTTAAAAGATAAGTAGTGAACATTTTCAAACTTTAATTTCTTCAGCAGTCACTGTCACTGCTTCCTTAGCAGTTACAGTGTTATTCAGTCACTGCATTTTTCTCTTGCTAGAAAATCTGTACCCGATGTGCCTGCAAGTGCACAATTTTGTAATTCACTGTTAATGTGGATTTCCACCCACGAACTAACAAATGTTCCAGACTACAATTAATTTTATCCTAAAAAATGTGGTTGTAGCATTTTTTCTTTTCTTTTTTTACTAGAACATCTATCTTACGCTAGAAATATTATTTCGAATCACATATGCCTGTTTTTCTAACGCAAAGAATCTCTCACATAACCTTTTATCCAAAAAACTCCTAACATGATAAAAAGTAAAACCTCTCTGTGCTGCTTATTTGAAAGCTAACCAACAACAATAAATGCATTTGTTGTTGTTATAAGTGCATTTATCTCAGGAAACACTGCATTACTGGTTAGATTTTACAAATTTCTGTTGAGTGCAGGATGACTGACTACATGCAGTAAAGTTCGTTCATCTTCCCTGTAAAGAAGCAGGCAGCATCTCATGTGGAGCTTGACTAGGAGGAAAGAGCAGCCATGAGATCCATGAACAGAGAAAGAGTAAGAATCCACAGCTCTTCAGTGTTGAACAGGAGAGGAGCAGGAGATTCCCTACCAAGTTTAGCTAGAAACTTGGATAGACAAAGAAAGAGGCAACAAAAATTCTTTATCTGTTGATTCTCATGCCAGGGATTGAAGCGAGATGTGTGCATTAAATCTAGTGCTAAATATACTTCAGGAAATATCACCTCTCTATCCAGCTGTGGCGATAACACAGTAATGACACCCGTGTCACCATGCAAAGAAAACGCTGGGGTTACTGAAGGAGCTTGTGACACAATGCGGTATTTCAAAGTAGTATGCAGAGTATACGGCTCATCTCTGTCCTCTGCAGTCACTGTTCCAACAACTATACCTGTGAACACAATACAGCAATTTTAAGTTACAGAAAAAAAACTACAAATAGGTAAACATTACTTGAAGAGGTATTTCTATTTTGCATTGGTAAAAACAGCTACTCTCTGTTAGGTTTAAACCCAAGTGGTATTGAAAACACAATTAAAAAAAACACAGTATGGAAAATATGATAATAGTGTAAAATTGACTATTTTAATCTTCTATTTCTTCCTCCTTCTCAAACAATGTTGCAATTATTGACAAAAGAATAATCAAAAGAAATATAAATGGTCTAGATTTCAGCTACTTCTAACTGAACACAGCTGAAGTGGAGGTTCAGTGATTTCTGACACAGTCGAAATTGCAGCACTGCCTTGGGGCAGGTTGCTTACCCAGTCTGGACTTCACTGTTAACCCATAAGTCAACCAGTTGAAAGAGGTCAGAGAATTAAATGCCACTGATGCTTTGAGAGTGAATGTGAAAATACTGCCTTCTTCTCTGTGAAGCATGTCAGACTCTCCTAACTCTATACACCCAGTCCAGGATATGGCAGGAATGGCAAACCACTACCTTTCCATTCTTTCTCTGTGGCCAACCTTTTTCCCTGCTTTTCTTCTTTGTAACATCTGAATTTAGCAACAGGCAAATCCCTGCCTTTCTATGAGCATGGGTGGAAACAAGCCTTTAATGTGTTCTCAAGAAACATTTAGATGTGGTACTAAGAGACATGGTTTAGTAGGGAAATATTTGTGGTAGGTGGGCAGTTGGACTAGGTGATCTTCCAAGTCTTTTCTAATCTTGGTAATTCTATCATTCTTTGATCTTCTGCTGCACAGACAGAAAGTGTCCTACTTTAATTCAAAACCAACACACGTAATCTTAAATCAAAAGTATTTCACACCTTCAAATACCACTAACTTAGTTGTGTAGGAGACTATTCTTTTAAAATTGTTGCTCCGTGCTGTTCTTTGCGATCAAAGCATTTAATGGAGGCAGTTCATTGTGGATAAATTTTTAAAAATGTTACTGTTTAAAGAATACTGAATCATCTCTGTTCTAAAAAAAATTCTTTGACACATTATTTTTCACTTTTTTTTAATGCTTTTTTGAATTTCTGATCATTTAAAAATTATTTTTTGAGCTGCTCTTTGAAAATTCAGTCTTTGCTGTAAAGAAATATTACTTCAGAAATCCCACTGAACTGGACCAAACAACACATTACTACATAATTGAGATGAGTAATGGTAACTGTGCTGATCAGTTTGAAACAATTCTTACCAGGCTTGGAGTTTTCAGGGACACAAAACTCAAAAACATCCTGTGTAAAATATGGAGCATTATCATTGTCATCCTCTATTCTGATTGTATGCACAAGGGGTACCTCTGGTGAATAACCATCTGGAGTGCTTGCAAAGCAAATGATCTGTAAGACAAAAATTCAGTAACTCATCTCATATTTAAGCACCATGAAGTATTATTACACTTTCAGCTCATTGGAGGAGTCAAGAAAAAGAAATGTACCATTTCAACTGTGCCCTCCTCAAAACCAGCCAAGCAGAAGGGGAAGTGATGGCAACACAAAAACTTGAACTGTTTTCAAATCTTTCCACTTTTCATTTCCCTCACTACCAGCAATATTTGAGTCACTTTTCCCACCCAACTTTCTCAAACATATCTCCAAGTCTTTTGAACACAGTGTTTCACGTATCATTGAAACAACTCCAGCATTACTAAAAATTCAGATGTAACTATTGCTACTTAGAACACAATCAAGAAAAGCAGCAAAACTATCTGTTACAACATACTTGTAAATACCAAAATAGGTAGTGCAAATTACCCAGCTATTCTGAAGCTGTTATTTCTACTAGCTGCCTTCTTACACTTCTCAGCCAGTAGAGAGAGCACTCTACCCTGTTAACAAAACAGCAAGCTCAAAAGTAGAGTCATCTGGAATTTGTCATAATCTGTTTTCTAAGCAGACCTTTTCAACTCTCCCTGAAAAACTCTGGGATGACTTCAAACTCTTCCTAGAAGTGATGCAAATCCAAAAGCACACTGCAACTGTGCTGTAATTAGAGCCTAGGCAGTGAAAAGCAAAGCTCCGATCTGAATAACCAGCTATTTCTGTATTTGTCATCTGTTTCATCTCTCCAACACCAGACACACCACTCTGAACAGACAGCTGATCATAGATCCTGTCTGCTCCATGTCTCCCCTGTAACCCTTTCAAACACACACACACACACACACACACACACACACACACACGCGCGAGAGAGAGAAATAAAGGATGTAACTATATTTACATTATGGAGCCCAGTACCTGAAAACTTGGATACTGCTCACGATCTACTGCACGAGTAGCAAAGATATTTCCAGTTTCTCTTTCTATGTAAAACAAGCCCTTTGGATCTTGATCAATTCCTGGTCCACTTGCAGAATAATAAATGGTGTAGTTTTGAGCTGTATCTGACTGGACCTACAAAGAACACATTTTTAAACCCAGGGTAAAACAGCAGCAGCACTCTAATACTTTCTATAATCACATTTGCAGAAGCAGAAATTTTCAATGACAAAAATAGAACTCTATTTATTTTCTTCAGCAGCTTAGGCTTCTCAGAATAGGGAAACAGACTGACTTCCCTTAAGGTGTGTGGGGATAGGTAGTTAACTCAAACTCAAAAATTTATTATCATCAAGCAATTAAAGAAATGAGAACATGCATGGAAAAAATATAATTTTGACATCTACTATTTCTAAAATGCTGCATTCATACACATTCATATACAGATGGTTCTTATTCATGCCTCTGCTCAAAAGATTTTAGTTTCAATGCATTCACTGAGAATATGACTTGTAATTAATGAAGAAAAAGCAAAGAAAAAGGAAAAAGAAAGCAACCTATAGCTTAGTCCAGGAACATGCCAATTTAAATAGCCTCTCCACATCATACTACCAGCAGAAAGGAGGTAACATCAGCAGTTATCTATTTACAGACAACCCCCTCCCCAAATACTTCCCTTATCTACTGAAAGCCAGAAGTTAGGCAGATAAGATTAGTAGAATGATTGCTCTGTACAGACTCTGTTATTACACTCATTTCTATGTATCTGCTACCAGTCATTCTGTAATCTAGAGAAGGCAGATGCATTAATGATAACTACAGTTCTTGTATTTCTCTTTCATGTCTGCTTGTTTTCATACTGTCAATTCTTTTCCTAATAACACAGCCAATATTCAGTCTTAAATTCTACAGATATTCACTCCAAACTCCAGAAAGTATACAGACAAGAGGACAAAATTTTATCTTCCCTGTATCTACTAAATCTTCTAAGCAATGTTATAGGATTTTTGTGGATTTTTTCCTGTTCAAACTACACACTTCATAGATTCATTGATTTCCAAGCAGAACTCTCCTCTCATAGTATGCCTTTTCTGCTTTTTACAACTGTAGCATGTTTTCAGTTGCTTCTATGATCACAAGTTATTTCAGCTATAGGATCTCAAGAAACATAAAACAGACAGAGGAAGACAATGGAGGAAAAGGAATGGCATCAGTGGACAATATGTGAGTGCTCGCTTCTGTTCTTCATACCTCATAATCATCACACAAAAGGAAGTTGCACTGTAAAATTAAGATCTGTATAAAAGGTACCTGCTGAATTTGTAGTGGGAAAGGTCCAAGTGAGTTCTCTATCATAACAGAAGGAATTGGGCCCCATCGTCTTTTGGTTCGCTTGAGAACAGTATCTCTAGCATGCCTAGTCTTCTGTGTGCGGGTCAAAATGACAGGTAAGAATATATCCACGTAACTGTATACTTTTGCTTAACTTTCATAATGCTTTTCCCACACATCCACCCCATTTTTCCACACTAACTATCCGTTTTTCCAAGATCTCTATTTCTGACTGTATGTGTGACAGTAATCCAAGAGATTTTTCATTCACTGCAAACAAGATCTGCCAGAACGCTTCAAACATGGCTTTTAAGATTCTTGACATTCCTTTTTAAGCTCCTTGTTAGCATCCCCTAACATTAGCATTTCAAGCAATCAGCAACTGACACAAGTCCACACCACAGTGCAGACTGCATTGCCTGATTATTTGAATTCTGAAAATCCAACTACAGCCACCCAACATGAAACCATGCTCTGTACAATCACACCCAAAGAAGGAAGGTACCTTGGAATTAGAGGCCCACCTTTTTTTCATCTGTCTCTAAGTCAATAAGTATTTTCTTTTCTACATGTTCTTGAATATCTTTAAGTAATATGGTAAAAGTCCTTTTCTCATCAGATAAAGAAACAGCAGAGGTTGTATACACAGAACCATCTTCCAGAACTTTGAAACTCCCATCACTGGAACTGATTTGTTCTGCAGACTGAAGGCACTCATTTAAATTAACTGTAAGAAAAAAAGATTCAGACAATAACTCAAACAGTGAAACGATAACATCCATCTCAAAGAGAAAAATAATTCCCTAATTAAAATTTACTGACACACAATCTCTTTAAAAATCATGTCATGTGGCATTTAAGCAGTACAAATACAGACTCTAGAATTCATCCACGCACTTAGCTTGGAATGAGTTCACACAAATTTCCACTACTGCGCTTAATGAAAGTATTTCCTAAAGGACATGGGTGATTCATACCCATCTCTCAAAAATAAACTATTACTACACTGGTGGGATTCTTGAAGCAACAAGAGACAAACTAATACATATAAATGCCATGAACACTGCAGACACTTTCATTAGTGGATCAGTGGGTATTACATTTCTCTTGTGCTCTGCGCCCCACATAATCAGTGAAGATATTAACTAATGCAAATTCCCAATGGGGATATTACTTCTTGGAAGATTTGCCCTCAGGAGGAAAGCACTGACTGGGTCTATGTGATTTAGAAGCCTTGGGAGGACAAAGGCCTTTAAATTATGAGGCAGACTGATGAGAGAGATACACACTAACTCTAGAACAAATGATGGATCAACAATTTATTAATATTTAAAAGACAGAATCCCATGCAGTTGACAGGAAGTGTACTAAGTAATCTTAGTACACTTCTCAGGTACTCTTAAAGCATTTGCTGTAAATTTGTGGCTTAAATAAAGTTTAATACACGTCACTAATACACAGCAGTAATTCTTCACAACAGTGGGAGGGGAGGGAAGGGGGGCAAAAATCACGATAGCAAAAATTAACCTAAATAACATCAAAGCACTAAGTAAGATTGATTTGGCACACTGAAAAAGATGTAGGAGCTTTCCTAAGCTCTAGATAAAGCAACTCTGCAACACACATGAAGGTGTTAGTGTTATGTTTTAGAATCAAATATTTTTTTCCTCTTAGCAAGTGCCAAAATAAAATAGTTTGGGTTTGGTGGGGCTTTTTTGTTTGTGTTTTCTTTTTTTTTTTTTTTAACCAAAAAGTTTTAAGATAGAGAGAACTATGTACTAGCATGCCTCAATAATTCTTCAATGGTATCACAGTAGACTGAGTTTTTCAGTTTTTCTACAGCTATAAAATTCTAAGACTAAATTAGATTCAAAATTTCACTCTACATACATAGATAATGTTTTAAATAAAATAAATTTCCAAAAAAAAATGTAAGAACAGATGGAAAGCATAGTTTCAAACATGGCTCGTTTTCCTCCTCCATACTAAGTCCTCCGTTTAACTGCTTAAATTAAATTAAACGTTTCATAGCCTTTCTATAGTGTTGCAACAGTATTCCACTCTCTTGTCAATCTATGCAAAGAAAATTTAGTTCTGAACAGAATTATCACCTCCTCACTTAAAATGTATCATAGTGCTGCATATTGCAACACTGCATTTCCAAATATACCAAAACGGTTATTTTGTCTACAATGATTATGTGAAACAGCATTATCTTCAGTATGTCATTGCCTTGTGGGATCTTTCTTTTATAGTCTCTTATATATATTGCATAAGTCAGAAACATATAAAACTTTATTTCATTGAAGAAAATCCTGAGTTATTTTATTGTCATGCTACAATCCTGCGATTACTCTCCCAATAAACATTCAAGGAACGCCATTCAAGCATTCCACTCCTAGTTAAAAGTTTGGGAAAAAAACGTTTAAGGTCAATGTTATGCAATTTCTTTTACAGCACTGTAACAATGTGAAGTTTACTTTTAAATCAAGTTTAATTTATTTAAATATAAACACCAAGAACACAGAAAACAGTTAAACTGCCATATCAGCTTTTCATTGTACAATCTAACAATAAGATCAATGTACTCTCACTTTAAAACTAGATTTCTCCAAACAGCAGCATTGCGATGAATTACAAGTGCACTGCATTTGGTCCTACTGTAGAATTTGGCTGGGGGTTGCAGGTTTGGAGTGTGCACCTCTGTTATCCTGAGACTCACACAGGGCACCTCTGAAACCTCAAACTCAGTCTCAGGCAGCGGTGAATGTAGCAGCTGCTATGCCACACCTTTAAAAGCCAACTTTTGAATAATGAACAAAAAAAGAGAGTGGTGTATTCTTTGGTCTCCCCTATGACTCCCCATCCCTTGGACACTGTACTCATCCAATACCAGACGCACCATCCCAATGGAGTGTACAGGCAGGATGCCTCTGCAATTCATCTCCTCAAGTGCCCTGAGCAGCCCAGCAGAGTTGAAATCTCACAGCCCAATTTCACTCTGGTCACACAAACAAGCGGCTTCTGGGCTCTTGGGTTGTGTGGGTTTTGCTTTCTTTTCTCCCTTCCCATTATCCAAATGATTACTCTCTCCTTCAAATGACTCTGTGGGTTATGGGTGCACTCTGGAATATTAAGGCACTGATCTGAATACTAAGCCCCAGAACTCTGAATTCTGAAAGCATTAAATATCATTTTAGTTTTAAAACGCACGCTGAAAGCTGACAAGAGCTATTTCTGCACAAGTCAAATGGATGCCCAGAGCTGGTGTTCAAACCTGTAACAAATACAGGGCGTATCCTCCACAAAAAGGCTGATCCAGCTGTTCAACTGGCTGTGCAATCATCCATTCATTTCATTAAATAAAAAAACACTCCTGCAGTATTAACAGCATCCCTAGAAAAGAGGCCGTGTTGTACTGTTACGATGGGCACCTGCAGCTCTCACCTCTGCCAACCAAAGTGTTGGCCTCGAGAACAGAGGGAACATGAAAAGTAACTTTCTTGCAAGCGTCACAGCACAAGCTCAATACCTAAAACAAAAACAAAAACAGCAAATTAAGAAATTAGGGGGAAAAAAAAATACATCATATTTTAAATAACAACTACTGTTACTCAAGTTGCCCTTGTTTAGTTTGTTGTCGTTTTGTTTTTTGAAAGACAAGCAGTGGGTAAGTCCAGAAATCAGCCTGCAGCCATCAGGCAGTACAGCACGCAGAACTTGGGACTGGGAACAGGACCAAGCTCTGCACCTGTCCACCACTGTGGTGTTTTCCTAAAATCACAGCACTGGCATCAGCAACAAAGCTTCCCTTAGACTAGGAGACATCGACTATGCAATTACTTTCCTGTAAATATGAACTACAGCTCTGCAGTACACTTCCCCCAGCAGCGCTCTTGGCCAATTTAGGGCCAAAGCCTCTGAGCATTAAAGGTGAACCAGTCCTAACTCGGTGGAGTCGCGGTGATGCCGAACATTAAAGGGAGAAGTGTCTTATTAAGCCCACATGACAACACATCTCGTTTTGCATCTTCAAAGCACATTCTCAACAGGTTAAATCTCGCTTCAGCAATTAGATATGACATAAATAAAACGTCGTGGATGACAGCAGACCACTCCCATATAACCTGTTACAAAATGGGGTCCTCCTCGAAATTCAAATGGCGTGTTGTTAACCAAGGAGCAGATAACCAGAACTCCTTACCAGAATCATATAGAGGTACAAAGACACTCCTCAGCAGAGAGTAATTTAGCCCCGACTTCAGATTTTTTATATATAAATGATTATCCACGTTTAAAATTGTACTCAAAAAAAAAAAAAAAAAAAAAAAATCACACAGCCACTTAAACAGAAAAAAATGTAAATAAATGTATTCTGCCTTTAAAGTACATTCATTCTTCCAGGATGAAAGTGTGGCAAAAAAAAGAGAGTCTACCAAAAAGATCTTCAGGATTAAAGGTATAGAGAAGAAAAGAGCCAACGGTAATTCTGAAAACGACTTCTTTCTTATTTATATTTAAATAAAAATACTTGAAAATCTTTAAGGCATTAGCAAACCTTAGAAAAACTAAGATTAGCAGAAAAATTAAATTGAAATGGGGAGTGCAAGGATAGCATTAAAGCAATTTAAATGTTGTGTCTGCATCATAAAAGCTGTTTGTGCTGTTTTATACGTATATATATATATATATATATATATATATACACACACACACGCATGTGTATACACAGAGACATAAAAATATGCATATATAAAACACTCTTATGTCTTAGTCGGCACTAAGAGATATTTGATAAAACTCCGTCCCAACAGATACCATTTTTACATTACTAAAGTCACATAACCTTACTACATTGTTCTAAGATATTTTCAGAATCAGTGATGGCTAATATTAAAATTATAACGCCAGGACAGTCATCTGAAGAGCTACCAAAGGGCTAAACACGCTTAAATGATAAGACAGATAGAAAATACAACTATAAAACAGCTACCACGTCCTTTCACTTTATACAGAGAAGACACTTCAGCAGCTTTTGGAGCTAGGGTGTGTGCAGGCTTTCTCTCCCCTACGTGACAGGCAAATTTTGTTTTCCTTCTAATTAGCTGGATGAGTAAAACTCAGCCGCATTTCTATGAGATTTAATATGAATACCTCGGCAAGGCAGGAACGCACAGCGTGTCTGGAAAAATAGAGCTCCCGTATCTAATGGCACAAAAATAATAAGCTCGGTGCTCTGGTGCTACCAAGTATCTTTTTTCCCAGCTCAAAGTATCTCCGCGTGCTTTTGACCACAGCAGTGATGCAGGGTAAGGGAAAAAAAAAAAAGGAAAGAAAAAGAAGAAGAGCAACTTCTCGATTCTCCCCGACAACGGCCTTGCCACAGCTATGCGCTAATATAAATACAATTAATCCAAGGTACAGGAAACTCGGCACTGGCCCAACGGACCGCTCCGAGGGGCTCAGCGCACCGCACGGCAGAGAGACAACAGCTCGGGGAAGCGGCGATCGGACGAAACGCCGTTTTCCACCGCAGCGACCCGCTCCCACATCCCACCCCTCGAACGCTTCGCTCCGCTGCGCACCCGCGGAGCAGCGCGGAACGACGCCTGGCCGCCCCCACTCACCAGGAGGCCGAGGAGGACAAGGCGGGGGGCTGCGCGGGCCATGCTGCGCGGCGGGGCAGCGGCGAGGAGTGCGTGTCCCGACGGCGGGCCGTCTCCCTCTGTCCCCTCCTCCCGTCTGCCCGAGGAGCCGGCCGGTGGGGAGGGTGGGACCGCGGGCGGCAGCGGCGACTTTAATTACTTTTTTTTTTTTTTTCCTCCCCTCCTTCCCTTTTCGGTAATGCCCGGCCCGGGCACGGCGCTGGGACACCCCGCCCGGCCCCGCCCGCCTACCTGCGCCGCGCCGTCCCGCCCCTCCGCTCTCCGCCCCTCCCGCCGTGCCCCAGCGGCGCCGGCTGTGCGCCGAGCCGCGCCCGGGGAGAGGCCGGGAGGATCCCCAAGACGCGCTCAAGTACCGCGCACGCGGCTCCCGGCGGGAGGATCGACCCCTTTTTCAACCATTTTTATTTTTTTTTTTTTTCCAACCGCGTTTTTCTTTGTTTTGTTGTTTTTCTGTTCGGTGTGTTTCACCTGCTGAGCGTGTCTTTTATGTGTTTCTGAGTGGCTTCAGGTGAATAAAAGACATTCAGTTGCACGCGCAGGAGTTGGGCTTTCTAAGAAGCACTGACTTTTAAAGGCTTACCACCTGAGCAGCAAGTTCTGTTTGCTTTCTTTTTAATCTGCCCATAATAAAGCACTTCAAAAGGAGATCAAGTAGATCCATCCATACATTTTAATATAATTTTTTTTCTTCATTCAAACAATCAGTTGAGCAGCAAAAATTCCACAAAACCTCTACACAGTGTTTGTGCCTTACAGCTGCTTGTGTTTTCAAGCTCATTAAAGAGGGTTGGTGGCCTGGTTGTGTCTGGAAGCATAGGAGGCCACCAATGCAGTAGGTGGCAAGATAGGGAGGGATGTTCCATCAGGCAGGAACATCCTTGCACATCTGTATGAGCATAAGAAATGCTGGATTGGCTGAAAGCACAGCAGTGCCCCCTGCTAGCCCTGGGCAAGCCATTTGGTTGCTTTTCTGCAAGCAAGTGCATCACATGCCTCAGTGCACAGGGGAAGCATGAGGTGGATTGCAGTAGTTCTTTTGGTATGGGGTGCAGTGACAAGCAGTGTGTGATGCTCACAACCATGTGCTGCAGTACCCTATGGCACGTTCAAGCGGCAGCCTGGCTCTGCTGATGGTTGCACCATAAACACATAGCATTGCACCAGACTCCATCATACGGACTCAGGGGAAGCAGGAAAAAATGGCTGCAGTGTCAATTGGTTTATTTTTATGAGGCCTGGTAATGCCTGATTTGTCTTGAGAAGCAGCCCAGGCCGTGAAAGGTGCTAAACGTTTTAATTCATTATGCTCCATTGAAGTAATTGTGGACATTGAAAGGGAATGAATTTGTCTGGACCTGCAATTGTTTCCAAATGTAATAATCTAGAATACTAACCTTGTGGTCAGAAATTAGTTTCTCAAGCTTTTGAATTCTTTATTTAGTGTCAGTGAGAGACAAACCCACATCTGTGAGAATAGGAGCCTGGGGTCAGATGACCCAGACTGTCTATTCCAAAAGCCCTAATTAAAAACCTTAAATCTCTGGCCTGGCTCCGTACCACTCTTGTTTTCCTCTGCCACAGAAAGTCCAGCTCTCACAGTAATACACTGGACATATAGCTCCTGCTGCCACTGTTGGAGTTTAAGAGAAAAAGGGGCAAATGCTGATGGAAGAGAGATGCATGCAGGACTAGCAGTGAGGTGCGTCATGGTATCGTCAGTCCAAAGCTGTTGAAAGACTGCCTTACTCTTCCATTTTCTTCCTGCATGGGCCTATGGCCACTGATGGAAAAAGAACAACTGGGCCTTGTAAGCCTCTGGGTCTGATAAACATTCTGTGCTCCTATATTTCTCTGAGCTTCTTCCAGAAAAATAAAGGCCTTCCTTGGTGTCAAAGTTGCTCTGCTGTTCAAAAATCCATTTGGAAAATCCACCTGAGTGAGTAAATGCCTTTTGTCACAGCACTTTAAGAGTTGGTCATGCCTTTTCATCTCCAGGAAGCATTTGAGTATTAGAGAGTTATTTGAAAACGGACTGACCTGCCCATCAGAAGAGTTCTATTGCATAACTGCAGTAAATTCCTGCCCCATTTGCTGTGTCTGTGAGTTTATGGATGCATTTCAAGGCTTTTGTTTGAACGTGAGGAATTTGGCATAACTGAGATATTGGATTACCTTTTTTCCTTTGCAGGGCTTTTAACCATGGATGTGCATGGGTGTGTTTATATTTGATGTTCCTTGGGGGACATGTTAGCCTTCTTAGGGCTAGAGTGAAAGAACAAGGGCAAGAGGGAAAAAGTAGTCATTGTTTCAAGCTACTTTAGGTCCACGAGCACTACAGATACCTGTGATAGGATCATGTTACTGCAGGATGACTACTCCAATGTGTTAAATTGAACTTTAGCACTTTGATAACATTCTGAATCATAGACTTGGAGAAAAAAACAATGATAAAAAAAAAGTAAGCAACAAGATATAACTTGTAATTTGGTTAGCTTAGAGTCCCCTTTGCTATATGGAATTATTAAAGAGTAGACTTAGTAGGCATATGAACCTATGTGAAATACTGGACAATAATTAGCATGACTTGTAAGGGAAAGATGTATTTCACAAATCAACTGGAATGCTGGAGCTAGTAAGAGCATTGCTAAGTTTTACCTAATCAGAACTGGAGAGTTCAAAAAGTTTGAGAAATCCTATCACCAAAGAAGGCAAATGAAGGCCAGCTTGGAGGGGCCCTGGGCAGCTTGGTCTAGAATTAGATGTGGAAGTTGGTGGCCCTGACTGCGGCAAGGGAGTTGGAGCTTGATGATCCTTGTGATCCCTTCCAACCCAAGACATTCTGTGATTCTACAGAATTGCATAAAGTGGCTATTGTTGTAAGCTGGCAGGGTGTATGACAGGAAGGAACATTCAACATATCCTGATTTCTACTCTTCCACTGAATACCATCTACTTTCTGCTGCTTAAGGCAGCACACCATTGGGCTCCTAGAGCAAGCTAGTTTTTGTTAATTCCTTACATAGTTCAGAAAACTTTCCTGGCTGGCTGTGTTCTGGTCCTCTCAATGCTTGGAAAAATGCAACATCATCACAAGATTAGGAAAACACTAAGGCTATTTTTTTCCCATTACAGTGGGATGGTAAACTTTTTTAGCCAGGTAGGCAAGGACCTGCAGCCAGACATTCATGTTGGAAGCATCCCTGGATATGATATTTCCTCCTAGGCAGACCACCTCTGGAGACTAAAGTCCAGCACATGTCTGGGGGTTCTGTTATTGTGCATCATCAACTAAACATGAAGTGTTCTTAATTTAGGTCAGCCTAAATTACCCTAAAGGGGACTGAACAATAAACAACAATGACCCTAACTAAGAAACTAATTAGCTTTAAAAACACAGCTTTCTTAGTCACCAAAGTTCATTGGATAAAGCTCATCCTTAATTTAGAGAATAATTATCGTCAGTGGTCTGAAGCTTTACACATTAGTCATTTCCACATGAGGGTTGGATTTAGTAAGACTCTGGAGAGTGCAATCCCATGCTTTTGCTCTTCTCTTTTTCTTATAGTAATACGCAAAGTCTCTGAAACTTCAGATGAAATCTCCTACTCTGAAATTTCTTTCAATTAAAATTTTGTCTAAATTTGAAGTTATATCAGCTTTATATGTCAGAATAGTAAAAGGTATCTTCTGCACTTAACCTGTCTTTTCTTGTTTGGACTTAGAAATTCTCAAATTCTCGTGATTATTCACATATGGAAACTACTATTTGCCTAACAAAAGCTGCACTTCTGATGATCTGAATGTACCTGTTTTCACAGCATAGTTTCATCTTCACCTGCTCTTTTGGAACTGGGAAATAATCAAATATTTCATTGTGCTATTTCAAACAAATACTAGGTAATTTTTTTCTTTGCCACTTAATTATCTGTACTTCGAGATTACACATAACAATCTTTTTAGAAATTGATACATTTATTAAATGGTTTGGCCTTTAATGAAATCCATTCAAATGAAGATACTGTGTTTAAATTAAACTGAAATAGTTTACTTAAAGTTGCATGCGTATACCTTGTATTAAAAATGTCCCTTCAGGTAAAATGCCAGAAAAAAAAGAAAAAAAAACAGTTTTGAAGGTCATTTCACTTTGAAGTGAGGAATCAGAATGTTCTACCTCCACGGCAACAATGAAGGGAATAATAAAGGGCTTGGGGTTTTTTTTTTACAGAGGAACAGAACTAATTTGCAGTCCAGCAAAAGACATGTAGGGAAAAATAGGGAAGGATGAATTAGTCACAGCTTTTCACAAGGTGAGAATGTGGAAGATACCAAATGAAATGATCAGGCAATCAAGAGAAAATGAATGAAAGCAGGCACTGTTTTGCACAGCAAATAAACAAATGGTGCAGTTCAGTGCTGTAACACATAATGGAGGACAAAAGCATAAATTTGCTAGAAAAAGAATAAGGAAAAAAATAACAGAGACTATGCTCTTCAGTGGTTGCTCAAGATACTGACTTTGAAAGTCCCTAAATACTGATTGGCAGCATAGGAGAGCATAGTCAAGACTGAGCCAAATATGCTTTGTTTTCTCCCTAAATATCAGTTGCTGTCTGCTGCTGGAGATAGGATGAATCTGTGGGACTTTCAGTGGGATGTGGTAGAGCAGATTAATTTTATTCTCTTCTCATGAAATCTGCCTGCTGAACTTTCATAGAGATTTCACTTAAGATAAGGGTGTTAAAAAACATGATGTTTATTGCTTTTTTAAAAAATCCTATGGCATATATAGCGTATGTCTATCATGCTTTCTTCTCCATTTGCCTCGTTACGTACTAAGAAAACTATTTAAGGAAGTAGTATACCTAAGTGTAAAAAAGAGTTAAAATGAAATCATAGAAGAACGAAAATACCTTGGTAAAGATTTTTTAAAAACGAGAATTATTTGTTCTGCATGTCTTTATTTCATCCTACATCAAAGAAGCATAGTAAAACTTCATAGGAGGGGATGACAGGAGTTGCTTGAGTATTATTCATCAAGTATTTATTTAATGTCCTGTGTTTATTCATCTTATTGCTCCATTTTACTCATGTCA